AATATGACATATATGAAAAATGTCTTGGCACTTTATTGAATATTGAATTCTCTGAGTGGTGCTGTCCTCATATTTAAATCTATTAGAAGTTTGACATAACAGCAAGCCAGCTGGCAGCCTGGAGAGCAATACTAAGAAAGCAATGGACTCTGCAGGAATGTATATTGATGTGACAAGGGAGGTGTACTGACAGGGGCTTTAGTTTTGCTGAAGGGAGAGAAGGCAAGAATGTAGGCTCTGATTCTTTTGTGTGACAGCTATGGCCACCTAGTGCCCTGCTACCCTGTGTAAGTAGGATAGCAGCAGGGAACCTCTGTGAAGGTTGAAAATTTGAAACTGATGTTATTGATTTACACAGATATAGCTACACGCATTATTTTTGAAGTGGATAAAAATATTCACTTGGACAGGAACAGAACCTGTCCCCCCCAAAAAAAAAAAAAATTAAAAGAGAGATGGAAATCATGTTAATATGATTGATTCATTTGGTTTTATAATGAAAAGAATACTTGCTGTAGGCAGAAGGATTATTGCAGGAATAATTCATTTGTTCTTAGTTTCTTTTATTTTATGACTTATGCAACCCAGCAGGAAAAAATACCACGAATGAAAATTTCTTAAGAAAATGTTGCCTAATGCAAAGGTAGTTGCAGTTCTCCAATCAGAGGAGTCTAAATCAATTGCCGTCTACAGCTTTGGTCATTCAGATCAAACGTTATAAGGGTGCAGGGATCAAGTTGCCAGTCGGTGTCCATGCTTACAAACGTGTTTCCTTTTCCTTACCTATGAAAGGATGCTACTCCCCACAATAACGACAGGGCAAGCAGCCCTCATAAACAATAGCATGCTTACTTTTGTGGGTTTGCCTATTTTGAAAAAGCATCTAGACTAGTAACTCTCTGAGTGCTGTGCTGGGAAGCAGAGAGAAATGCTGCTGCATAGCTTGAGTTAAGCCCTGAGGAGATGAAAATAGAAAGGCTGATTGCTGGTTGTCTCATCAGCCCTTGTGAAAAGCAGCTGACAGTGTTCATGTTTGAAAGATGAGAGGAAATTGGAAATCCATTCCCTTTCCCCTGGTGTTTCAGTCATAAGAATACATATGAAAAATATAGAAAGGCTAAAATGCTTAAGTCAAAACTCAGTGATGTCCACTGTCACATATTAGCAGAATAGTAAACTGGTTGAGAAAAAAATAGCTTCTCTTCAAACTTGGTCTCTGATAATGGGAAATGGGACTTCTGATGCTAAATGAGGGAACCTTGGGCTTTTTGCCTTTCTGTCCGATTTTTGGTTTTGATTGAATGTTGAAATTTGGATTTGGTATCATGAATGTCAGCCACTAGACTGGGACTTGGACTACAAGCAGCTTTCAGGCTATCAGTGACCATTTGGACTTTGTTAAACACTGAAAAACCATAACAAAAGCAGTTCTTGTTATTTTAAAAGCAAAAAGAATTGTTGCTAGTTTGACACCCACATGCTTTTTCCTCCCTCACTGTTTCTGTCATCACACTGTAAACCCCCTCACAGAATTTGAGATCAACTGTTGCACAAGATACCTGGCACTTTTCAAGGCCAGACTGTCACACGCATGGACACTTATCAGGGAAGGCAGTTTGGGTAATGGATATTGGGCACCTCCTGAAACCAGTAATAAAGGCACACAGAAAGGTGGCTTAGGAAAAAGTGCTATGTGTGGTGCTACTTGCTATTCAGCAGGATGAAAGAAGGATGGTAGGTGGAAAGTACTTGATTCTAACAACAAAAGAATAGTATGGGCTTCCTTTTTTACATGAAATTTCAATTTTACATTGAATCAGCTGTTGGTCTTATGATTCTGCCACTGACATGCACACTGTCATCTGGACTTCATTATTGTGCTGTTGCCCAGCATTAGAAATATGAGGTTTTTAATTATTTATAAAGCACTAAGGATGCACAGTTCCTAGACAATCTTATATATATATATATATATATATATATATATATATATGTATATATATATGAACAACAAAAAGAAATACAGAAAGATATTCTCAGAGGATCTTACGTCTCCAATAATCCCCCCCACAGCTGCTGGTAGGGCTGCACAGCCCCTTAGGGCACCTTTCAGCCAAGTCAGCCTGCAACCACCAGGATCTCAGGGAACACCTAAGAGACCAGAGGACTTCTCTTTGCTTCCTTGACTTAACTAAAAATAAAGCTCCTATATGAGCTTCAGCACATATGAACTTTTTTCTCTGATTCCAGTACTTTTTCTTCATATTTAGCTGAAGACAAAATTTATCGGACAGATTTGAGAAAGTCAAAGAGAGAATAAAAAATATTTGGGGCCAGGAGACAAAAATATTAGGTGGCAATCTGTGTTCCAGTTTAGGGAATTTTTCAATAAGCTGCCCTCAGAGAACTCAAAATACACTTTCTCTCGTGTTTGCAGATTTGCTTTCCTTTGCCTTCAGAGTGTATGTGGCAATTTTTCAAGCCAAACATATTGGTGTGGAGTGGAAATAAATAACTATTTTTTGGCTGGTAAAAATCCAAACAGTAGAGAAATTACCTCCTTTCAGGAAGGTCTTGGAAAAATGGTTCGATTTACATAATCTTTTTGACTCATTTACATTTCTGCTTGAGTCTACAGTTTGAAAGGCAAAAACATTGTGACAAATAATGAAGTAATCATGCAATTAGGACTCAATTACTCATGCTGTTAGAGTGATCTTTTGCTTATTTTTCCCCCACATAAGAAAAAAATAAATATTGTGTCTTTTTCTCCCCTCTGGTGCTAATTTCCAGCTTGAATTATGTGAAATCCAGAAAGTTCGTTCTCATGGTTTTACATTTGTAGAGTTATCCATACCAGGGTTACCTAGGCCATGGTCCGTCATGAAGCGGTCAGGATGCACAGTACATTTTACCTTCAGAACATGGACAAGTGAGCAGTGGGGGAATGCAGAGAGTTTGAACTGTGGCTTTTGTCCCCCCTTCAAAATTCAAGGCAGTCTAGTGGGGCAGGGAGCAGGGATATAGCTCTCTGCATGCTTGTGGTAATTCAAGTGCAGCAGTCAAGTTCAGGCTGTGCCAGGTGGTTATCATTTGGCCTATATGGGTGCAAGAAGCTGGGTAACCTGCACTACTGGGTGTGGGAATAAGCAGATATCACCAGGTTGAGCTTGACAGAGAGTCACTTCGGGATACTCTGACACTCTTCAGGTATCACTGTCTCCCTCCTGTGACCTACACCCTGCATCTCCCCCATCTCTTCGCTCTCACACCACACGTGAAATGCAATACGCATACAAGTGTATCTCACACTACATGAAGATAAGAAGTCATGATTTGCAAGGTCAGAAATTCTGGGTAGTTCTATTTCAAGGCCTTGTCAAATGGAGAAACAAGAAATACTGTCTTGAAGGTGCCATGTGGTGTCATCTAAAGTATAGCTTTGTCAGCCCATGAGACCAGGTTGAAAGGAATCTGTTGATCACTCAATGCATTGCCAGATGTCCTATGCCCTAAATAAGTTCCCATAAGAGAGGCTTGGGTCATGTTTCCCATGTGGAAAACATTCAGTACATGTGATTTCCTGTATTTTTATGGAGAACCGCCAATTTTTTTCCCAGGTGTTTGGAGCACAGATGTAGCAGTTAATGTGAATGACAGCTAAACCATGCAGCTGTTTAGCCTGGTGGTTGGGGACCAAAGACTCACACATGCCCAATGCTTAGTCACTTCACACTTGTTTGTCTAGGACTGTGACAGAGCTTGCTACTTCAAATCTTTTCTATTTTCCACTGTGGAGTCCCAGGCACATCTATGCTTAGTGTCTCATAAATGGCCTCAGCTGGTAATGGTCTGCATCACAATGGTCTGCATCTCAAGGCTGTGTGTAAGAGGCTTCTAACAAGGACCTTCTTTCAATCTGTCTGAAATTCAGGATGCAGTCCTCTTAGGGGTGAATCTGAGATTTCTCTCAGCAGTCAATTGCATTTTTCATCTTGAGCTCTTTGCTGCTGGAAGTGCTTCATCTCTCTACTTTTCGGACAAGCACCGCCTCTGATTTGATTCTGAGTGGATAGAACTTGAACTGGGGTGCCAGAATAATCTATTTCTCTCATGACATGCCCAGAATTTTAAAATTAAGAAATGGCTGACTTATATTTGCACTTAAATTAGACTGTAATAGCACTGTTCTTAGGGGACTGTAATACAAACTGGAGAATGACACTAAATCAATGGACTTCTAAAGAAGAAGAGAAAGAACTAAAGGGACTGAACTAAAACTCAGATCTTAAGCCCAACGGACTTTGTCCAAACCTGTTAAAATAACCTTTTCATGAAATAATGTTACCATGAAAAATATTTATCTTTGTGTTTTTTAAAATATCTCATATGTGAACAGAGAAGTAAAATAGAAAGCCGTTGTTTGTTAACTGGAAAAAAAAAAGGAGAGAAGGAAAAGAAAACATGTTATCACAAATCCCATGCAGTGAGAGAATAGCATGTAGTTTTCTTTTTAGTTTGGTCAAGTATTCATATTTCATTCTCTTTCAACACAATGTATTTCTCACCTTATATTTGATCTGAAATGCTCTTCTAGCTGTATAATCTGTGCATGCTGAGGTCTATTCTGCAAAGCATCCAGGATTCTGGCTCAGTTTCCTTTCCATCAACCTTAATTTTCTCAGTTTCCACCCCTTACAGGACAGTGGAAAGAAGGCAGAATCTCTTCAGATATAACAGCACAATCTATGCCCAATAACCTTTCCAGAGGGACAAGGATAAATCCTCATTATTCCAGATGAGTTAATGAGGACTCTGCATGAAATCAGTCAGACTGCTCATTACAAGTCTCTATTACTCTGCTTCTCTGCCTGAATTTTACACCTTTATATTCCCCCTTAATCATTTGCTTCCAAGGGTGCTGGCCTGCCATTTTCTGGTTACGTTTTCAAAACAAGCTTCCCTTCTTTGTGTAATAATGGGGTTTTGTCTCTTTTCAGTGACGGTTGGGCAGACAGAGATGAAGTCATTGAAGGTTATGAACCCGAAGCAAATGGAGGCATTACTATCAAACTGCAGTCTCCTGAGGTCTTGGCATTTGACGACTACTATCTGAAGCTGCGTTTGGACACCAACACCCGCAATCCTTGGTTTCCTGAGTTCTGGCAGCACAGATTTCAGTGCCGTATCCCAGGGCACCCACTAGAGAATCCCAACTTCCAGAAGAACTGCACTGGTAACCTGCTAAATATTTTTCTGTTTTTGAATCTGTGCTCTGGCAAAAATTTGTCTTTGGTTCTGGGGTTTTTTTGAGATTGTCTTGTGGGGTTTTGTGTGTGCATGTTCTTGTTTTGTTTTGTATTTTTATGGTGTTTGGTTTGGGTTTTTTGAGTGGTTTTCTTTTTGGTTTTGTTTAGGTTTTTTTATTCCCTTTTCATATTTTAGGTCTATGTTAAGTCCAAGAAGGTTACAAAAATTTATAATAGGGCTTGTAAAAAAAAAGTAACCATAAATTTTAACAAAAATAGGAGGAAATTTATACTTTTTTCCCCTCAAACTCAGCTTTTCTGGTCAACTGAATAATGAGGAAGTTCACAGAAAATATTACGACATAAAAAATATTTTAAGGAAAATTGATGAGTCTTATATTCGGCCAGTCATCTGCTTCACCCTTTCTTTTCTTACCCATTAAAGCATTTATAGTTTGTTTCCACTATGTATCACTCATATAAAACAACACACTGTTCTACAGATGAAGGTAACTCTTACCTCATAGAAAGGGAAGGGTAGCTGTGCACAGACAGGTTTTCTCTACTTGTAGTAAGGAAGTTACTTCAATAGAAACAAAACTAGTGAAGCCTGACTTCCTATGGATTTTTATCCTGTTTTTTACATCTCCACCTCCTCTATCCCCTAGCAGTAATCTCAGTTGGTCTTCATGTGTTCCCTGAGATGCATTCTCATAGTTTCCAGCTCTTCCCTTCTCCATCAGTAGTACTTTCTAAGAAGAGCTTCCACAGTATCTTTTGCTTCTCCCCAGTTCTCTTATTCACAGCTGAGACACATCACCAAATACAGTCACTGACTTTAACAAAACGTTGATTTATGGAATATACATTCAATTGGCTTTGAGACAGCTTCAGCTCAGACAAAGCAGTTAATATGGGTCAACAAGGGCAAAAATTGCTAAGGAGAGTTAAGTGATTGATACACAGTGTAAATGGTCAGCCCTTTTCTTGTAAGAAAAGAAGATTAAAATTACACCGTTCCATTCATTCCATTTACACAAATAAATTTTAGGTTGATACTCTATAAAAAGGCCTAATTTTGAGGCATCTCAGCAGCTGTTGTAAACATGGGTAGTTTGTTATCTGGCCTCTGTTCAGTTATGAAACTAAAAGCTTGGGCCTGAACCAGCATAGTTATCCTACATCTGCTGTATCAAAGGCAAGTACCAGGTGGTGAGTTCAGAATGGTCAAGATGGGATACTTCTGCACAGAATGTGTAGGTGAGTTTTTACACAGTGATAGCTGTACAGTCCAAAATTGTACTTAAGCCAAAAACAATTAAACAAATTCATGGAAGAAAACCACTAAGGGCTGTTTAATTGGAAAAAAAAAACAAAACAAAACACCACAAAAAAACCCCAAACAAAAACCACAAACAAAACCACAAACAAATAAAAACAAAACCCAATAAACAAACAAAAAAACAAACAAACCTACCCAAACAAACAAGAAAACCCCACAGAACAAAATATAAAAGTCTCACATCAGCAAAGAGCAGCTTCACAAAGTATCTATTCCTGCTAATGGCATACCTACAGAATTAAGAGACCTACATGTCTGCAGCAAATCTGGGGGCAATACAATATAGTATTTATTTTCCTTTAACTATACGCATCTGACTGCTGACTGTGGTAACACCAGAGCTTTCTCTGAATGTATCTTCATCTGGCATTTCTGCAAGGTTAAGAATGTCACTTCATATACTAGCCGCTTCAAAGTTTTTTGGTGAAGACTTTCTCTCCAAGAAGGACTGTATGACAGTGCCAAGAAACTGCCTTCTTTACCTCTCAAAGATTTGGAGGCAGGCTGTTTCACAAACTTTCTGCCAAAAAACAATTCTGGATTGTGTCTTTTCTGCTTATACTTCATATCTCCATGCACAAATTTGAAGGAGAGAACCTTCAGCACCCAGTACTTCTATCAAGAAACTAAGTTCCAACATATCTAAGAGCTTTTACTTCTGCCTTAAGTATTCCATTGATATTCCTGTGAAAAAAGACACAAGGTCCTGCATTATGGAAAAAGCTGAATCCTCTGTGCTCCCAGGAGACCATGTGCATTATTAGCAAGTATTGTGACTATATCTCTGCATCCTGGTCTGTTCTAGAAGGACTAGCACTTCTAGTCCTTACTGAGAACAAAGCACACCCATACTTTTACATAGACAGGAACACATTTAAAGGCAGTACTGCTCAAGTTCATCTTCCATGTCTGGAAAGTTAACATCTCAGGAAACTATCTAATGAAAAAGAAGACCTAAGACAAAAAGTCTTGTGATATCTAGGGCAGTCTAGTGTAATGGTAGTTACCAAGAAGGAGGTTGCCTAGGGGCATCCAGGAACAAAAATAGGAAAGTCATCACTGTTCTTTGACTACCTAATTAAGAAGAGATTCAGAATACTTGAATCTATCCATTTTGAAAAGGAATTTAATTACAAAGTTTCTATTGGAGAATCTTCAGTTACTGCCTGCCCATTATAGTTTGCTCACATACAATCTAATCACTTTACTGAGTTTATTTAGAATTGCCACTGGCATATGAAGTTCAATTTTTATCATTTATGGATAGGCAAGGACTTCTCCTCAAGTAATTACAGCTGCTGCATTTCCAATTTTTCACACTCTATTACTGTTGAGTCAGCACTAGCTTGAGATTCTAAGCTCTCTATAAAGCAAAGGAAACCTCTTTCCTAGAAATCTCCCTTCTCTGACGACAGGAATTTTACTGCTTGAATTTCCTCATTCAGTCCCTGAGAAGACTGATGTTGTACTTCAGAAATTCTCATCTAACACTGAGCTCTGAATGTATGTGCTCTGAATTTACATGCATATTATGGAAGAAAAAGGTCTAAGAACTATTGGAAGGAAGCAAGTCCAAGTGCATTCTACTCTATGAAGTCTGTAGGATGCCTAAGAGTTGGCCACATTTTCAGAATAATTTCTCTAGATGTACTAGGACTATGTAGTAGTAGCACAAATTCTTGGGAAGGGAAGGAAATCACCAAGATTTTTGCAGTGACTGTTCCTTTGGCTCATCTCTTCTTGCAAAACTTCAACAACTTACTTTCCCCACTTGGGTGGAAGCTGTATGAGTGAGAACTATTTTTGACTCATTCTTTACAATGTTCTAGCCAAATGCCTCTCATAAGGAAATGCCTCTTTCCCTGTCCCTCTTTCTTTCCCTCCCTCTTTCTCTATCTGCTATAGGAGATATTCTTTCTCAATATAATAGGATTCAAGTATAGACATTTTCTTATACGTAGATTTCTTGGATCCGGCTGGGATGGAATTAACTTTCTTCATAGCATCTCTCATAGCGCTGTGCTTTGTATTGGTAGCTAGAAAGGTGTCGGTAACACACCAGTTTTTTGAGCACTGCTGAGCAGCATTCACACAGCTGTAGGTTCAGGCATTTGGCAGGGAGCCAGGTCCGAACCGTCACATAACTGGACATTATTTGTTGACAGAGGTAGAGAATACATTCTCCTTTGCTTCCATATATGGTCTTTGCTTTCCTTTATTAAACTGCCCTTATCTTGACCCATGAGTTTTTAATTTTACTTTCTCTCCCCTGTTCTGTTGAGGAGGGGGAGTGAGAGAATGGCTTGGTGGGTACCTGCCAGCCAGTCAAAGTCAACCCATGACAGTAGAAAAGACATATTTGTATATGGCAATTCTCCTAGAGTTTCCTTGATATCTAGCAGACCAAAACCACTTTCAGTACAGAATTGTTCTTAAACTATCCATGCCATTTAGGTATTTTCAGTGTATTCCATGAAGTAGTTACAGTTCGTAGGAAACAAACCATGTCCTGAAACTCTGAATGGACACCTGACTCATTACGAAATTCAGAACTTCATACCATTTTTCATGCTCTCAGATTAAAAGTGGGAACAGAGCAGACCAATTTAATACTAACAAAAACTCCCCGAAAAACAACCAAACCAAACAAAAAAAAGCTTTTTCTGAATTTGAGGGACTAAGAAGCTATCTTACTCAGGACAGACCTGACACTAAGTTCCCTTAGCACACAGCCTCAGGCACTGCTCCAAGTAACAGCCACTGCTTGTCTTAGTTCATTAGACAACTTGACCTTTTCCACATTTTGGAGATTGCACACAGACAGTAAGATTAGATGGTGGACTGTGTATGTCAGGCAACAGAGTTCAACATACCTTTCCAACAGTTCTGTAGGGTGTTTTCTTCTCTGTGATCTCACAGAAATAGCCCAGATAGAAATATTTTTTCCCCCACAAAATTACAAATATATCTCTATTGGACTTGATGAGCCCACATAGGCCAGAATTAAATGCAAGTCACACACAGAAATGGTGTAGAACTCAGTGCAATGCAAACACCTGTGAGGAGGTCTAACTGCTCTTTTTGGAATGCCTTATTCTCCTCCTGGCAGATAATACAATGGCTGTAGTTTACATAAACCAGGTGGGATGAGTCCTCCTCTGCACCATAAGAGGCAGTTATGAAATTGGTAATGGAACTGATGCAAATATCAGATTATGCTCAAAGCGGTTCATCTGCTGGGACAACAAAATATATTGGCAGGCAATCAGCACAGACATTTTTCAATATAGCAAAGTGGAACAAAGTGGGCAATTTATGATTCATTCATCGATTCAATTGATCTTTGAGAAGAAGGATTATTTGTCAGTGAATGTATTTGTTGCAGACAAGAACAAGAAATGTAGATATTTTTTGTTCCAAAGGAGGTCACAATCCAAGTTCCCTTTAGGATGCTTACTCATACCTTGGTATGACACAAGGATTGCTTTATCTGCTAATTCCTGTCTTGGCCCAAGAGAATTGCAATCAGTCTGAGTGCAGTCACAGCCACAGGTTTACAGGATCACTCAGTTTAGAAGGTAGCTCAGGAAGACTATAGTCCAACCCCTTCCCAAAGCAGGTTAAGTTATGAGTTCAGACCAGACT